GGTTAAACTTGGCTTGCAGGACAGCTTCTGCACTGGATGACTTCTTGGTCATCACCTTTTTAATCTGGCTTGTTCATTTCCCAGGAGCCATGCCCTTAAATGTCATTTGGTGGTATGCAGCAGTATTGCAAATGGACCCTCCAGTTTTGAAGAGTTGAACTTGCATCATAGGTGTAAAAACGTATGTGTTCTATACTCAAAATGCTACCAGAACAAACCAAATGCTAATTATATGATCAGTTGAATCACTGGTACTTCACCAGAACCAGTCTGCCTTCTAGGAGAGGTGTATGTTGCAGGACTTTGGCAGTTTGCACAAAATGTGCCCATTGAGAATCTCTTGATGAGAATCCTTTTCTGCCTCTAAACACCATTTATTAATGCTGTTTGCACACTGTGGCTGTTTGTCTTCTGTGAAGACAGTTAGCTACACAATAATTTCTGAACTCTAATTTAAATAAACAAGGAGCAGTTATGTCTATTTACTCTTCTGTATTGAATTACTGTTGTATGTATTCTGAGTCAGGATGTTACATCAAGGTGATGAAACAACAGAGAATTTAAAGGAGATGTAGTTAGATTAATATGGTTCTTGGGATAGGGTTTTGTAACAAATTATCTCAACATCAGTGGAACTATTAAATGAAGTTGTGACTTTATTCTTACAACCTTTGTGTTTATATACAAGTTGGAATAGCCCTATACTCTCCAGCTGCTAACTTACACTCACTAGCTAAAGTGGAGCCTAGGGTCTGACCTGCAACTCCTTTTCATCCGGTGGTTGTAACTCATTCCAGTTATTCACTAGGTTGTCCTTAATTCAGCCCACCTCCCTTACTAGCACCTGAATTTTCTTCTTCTTGAAACATGTCATCTGAACCACCACAAGACTTTTTCTTTCTGCTTCCTGTACCATCATGATGTTGCAGCATGATCAGTTGATGGCAGATTCCATCTTTATCTTATTCACATCTTTGCTACTTACCCACAGCTTGATTATCTCTATATGTAGTGCTGCAGATGTTCCCTAATAGGCCTCTCACTTTAGTCTCATCACTCCCAAATTTTACATTGCATGAGACATGTTGTGTTCAAAATAAATTCTCTGCAGCTCCCTGCATCTGTAGTCTCTTGTTAAAAGGCAGTGTTTTTTCATCTTTTTATGCTCTTATATGGGTTTCACTCTGGTTATGGCATATGAGTGCTTGTATGACAGTGTCCAGTACTGCTATTACAGTTAACAGTGAAAGTGGTTTTGACTATGCTGGTTCTGGCAATTCCTGTACAGAAGTATATTGCAGTGTGTGGAGGAGACCTACTCTTTGGTGCTGGAAAGGTATATTTTGTGTCAGCAAGAAAGAAATCTGGAAGAGGAGTTTCTGGTTTTGTTTTGGAGTGATTGGATGCAGTGAATAACAAGAAAATAGCCTCTTTTTATTTTGTATTTGCTTGCAAGTACTTTTAGTCCTGAGAATGTGTAGCTCTGAATTCAGTTAGAAAAAACCAGTAGTTAATGTCCTGCCATTCTTCCCACTTCCTCTTCTGCAAGAGAAGTCTTAATTGTAGACATCCAATTTTAAAGCTATGTAGTACTAAAACACAATTGTAAGATTGCGGCACCTGAGGGTTTTGATTTGGTTTTGAGTTTGCGAAGTCTTGTGCAAAATGGACAGATGTAAACTGCTGAACACAATTATTTGTGTTCTTGAGTAAGTAATTAATAAAATCAGCGCAGAAAAGCTGTTGTGAGCAGGAAATGTTCCCAGCCTGGAAGCTTGTGTTGGACAGAAAGACTGATTTGCCATCCTTCCACTTCTGACTGATAGCGCTCCAGATTCTCTGTGCTTTCGTGACACTACATGCTTTGTTAATGGCGAGAATATCCTTAGAGAGCATAGTGTAAATTATGAAGGCTCTGTTTTAAGGGAAAACTTGAAATGAATCAAGGAATTTCCAATTTTTCTTTCTCTAGCTTTCTTGCATAAGCAAATATTGCAGGCTCCTAATCTGGAAGACAAGCTAAGAGTATAAGTGCTGATTTAGGATTTCAGGCAAAGCATGTCTACTAAAATGTTATGGCATTTCAGTCACAATGGATACAAAGCATAGTTTACAGATTGCAGAACAAACAACATTTGTTAGACCTTATATTGACCATAGATTTACAATTTATGTTGCCAAAGCATGAAAATCAGTCTCAGTAAATGCCTAAGGGTGTAGAGTAGACAGGGAGCAGTCATTGGAGAGACACAGACACTAACATCAAAGACAAGGATAAAGGACTATGAAGCTATGGAACAGGATTCATTGGGAATCCAGAATACAAGGAAGCAACTGGGAGGAAAACAGTACACAGATAATGGTGGCTAGCTTGGATTTTAGTGAGATGTGAGGACAAGAAAGATTGCACAGGCTGCAGAAGAGAAGTGTTGTTTTACACATAAAAAATTTCATACCTTGTTACCACGCTAGGTAGTTAAATTTTAAGCTAGTGAGTATCTAGTACCTGTTGAGTTTCCTCCTGGGATACTTTTTGTTTAGAATACCTTCTGTTTTTTAATTTTTTTTGGTAGGCTTTTTTTTTGGTGATTTTTTTGTTTGTTTGTTTTTTGGGTTTTTTTAATTTTTTTTTTGTTAATGCTTTCTTTAAGTTGTTTTTGGTTTTTTTTCAGCAGAGTAAAAACCATAGGCAGAGAATTCATTTATCTGTATAACTTTCTGACTATGTTGTACGTTACAACATTTCAAGTTTCTTTTTGACATATAAATTGCAGTCCACTTAGTAAGTAAAATGGATTACTTAGGGTAACTGTGACTAGTCAGACAACCGAAATCCTTGCCAGAGCTGTTCTAGAGGCTTTTAAAAATCCTATTAAAAGATTTTGTATGCAGATGGTAGAGAGAGGATAAAAAAACCCCAAACCAACAAAACAATCAAAGCACACTCTGCAGTGCATTTTGCTGCTCCCCTTTTTGCCAACGGCAATTTGCTCTTAAGACAGCAGCTGTAGCTGAAATTTACCTCTGCTGTTTGTAAATAAATTTCAAAAGAATCTAGAGTTCTTGGAGTGAATTACAAACAGGAAGCACGAAGCCTTGCATATTTTATGCAACTATGATTATGCTAATTATAGCAACATATAAATGTCACAATCTTGTTGGGTTTCTAATGGTAGTATATGAAAAGGCTGCTTTGTGCATGTGAATTCAAAAAAGCCAAAGTCATGAATAGCAAAAAAATCACCTTGCTAATATCATGTAAGTTTCATGTTTTTCTTTTTTTAAATTAAAAATACGCAGAATACATAGTGGAGGCAAAAATTGTTGACATTTCATTCAGCTGTTCTGTTTTAATTCAGTACTGACATTTGATACCTTGTCGGCAAAATCTCGAAGATTATTCCATGTTGCGGTCCTTGGTGGTGGTGGATGCAACCTTCCCCAAGAGTGTCTTGTGCCAGCGGGTAGGAGACACAGGAGCACCAGCACAGACAGACACACACACAGAGCAACTCAACAGTGGGGACACGGGAGGGTCCAGGCATGGCATTCTAATGTGCTTTATTTCAGGCCATGCTGAAGGCATCCAGGGGCCAAAGACAGGGAACAAAGGAGGGTCCAGGATATAAACACAGGGGAAGAGGGGCAGAGGAGAGCATCAGGGATCTGAGTGCTCAGGAGTTGTACACCAGGGAAGGGACCAATAGGAAATGCCAGGGTGGATAGGCAGAGACATAAACCAAAGGGAAGTCAGGGAAGGGAGAACTAGCTAGAACATAAACATAAAAGGGTAAAAGGGGTAGGGAAAGCCAATGGGCCAATGGGGAGAACACAACTGGGACAAATTAACATAGTGCTGCAGAGCACCATGGCCAAACTTCTTTCCTCACCGTGAGCTGTGAAGAGTGCCCAGAGCCTAAGGTGCATCTCCAGGGAATTGCTGTTGCATTCTCTGAAGTCAGCTCACAGGCCTCCAGGCTTCAGAGTCTTCAGAGAAAAAAGTAAATGCGTAGTTTCAACAGTTAGTGCCCTTTGCTCTATCTCTGCAGAGGACAGTTGTGTATGTAGTCTCATATCAATCTCCTTTTCTGCCTCAAGGGTTAAAACAGTGTCTGGAGTTCTTGGGTCTCAGTCAATATATCTGAATATTCAGTGTTTGGGAGCCTGGTGAGAAAGCTTGTCTGTGTAACTCTGTATTTTTAAAAGTAGCTGTAATCAGTATTTTTGTTATAACAAATTAAGATTTGCTGGTTAGTTTTGTATTCCAGCTAGTGCTTATTTTCCTGAAACCTTTTTGCCTAAATGACTGCTTATAAGACTCTTAATTATCTTAGCAATGTATATATACTTGAGAATTTTAACCTCATGAGCAGCAAACTATCTGAATCCTTACAACTGCTTCCATATTGACTATTCCAACCTTTAATTATACAACTTTCCTTTCTGGCACCATAGCAATACAGATGAAAGATTTCTTCACTGAAGTGTTAAGCTCAGCTGCCTTATGGCAGGTAGAAAACTGTTCCTTAAACAGCAATTTATTGCCTCCTTTCTACATGCATAGTTCTTGTTCAGCCTGCCAATAGTATTTGAAAAGTTTAATCCTTCCTGGAAATCAGATTACTGAAAGGTAGCTGTGGAAGACTGCAATAGGAGATATTTTCCATTTCATGCCATTGATTTCTGTTTTCTGTTAATAAAAAGATAGATGAAAATAACCTGTTTTGTGGATAAACATTTGTAAATTTCTGGATAAATTAACTATTTTCTGGGTAAATAACTATTTGGTGATCTAGCTCCTGTGGAGGCCCTTCTTTTGGAATCTTACATGAGCTTTACTCTTCAAGTCTTTTCAATTTCTTCTTTCAAGCTTCTTCAACTAGCTTGGCATTTAAAGATGGCTCCTATTGTAGGTAAATTACCTGTAGAATAATTTTCTGCCTTTTTCTTTTATGAGCGGACGAAATGTTGTTAACTTCATCTCTCTCTTCTCACACAAGAGTTCCAAGCGAGAGTGGAAGCCTTTGGAAGACCACAGCTGCACAGATGTACCATGGCTGCTCTTATTCATCCTCTTCTGCATAGGAATGGTGAGTAAAACTCAGAGGGTTTTGTAAATGTTATATAGCTAAAGAGTTTGTGTTCATAAGAAAGGAATTTTAAAACCTGTCAGTAACTGAATCACTGGCAAAGATCAGGATATGTTTGCATGGGAATCATCAACTGTAGAACAAAAATGGGTAGTATGTACATATCAAAGGCCATTGGTAGGGATCCATAATTTATTGTTGGTGCCAATTCTTGCTCCAGCTTCTTTTCCCCTGAAACTGCAGTCTCAGTGGTAAGTAATTTTTCAGCAAGATGAATTATCACTTGACTCATGTTCCTTATGCATGTCCCAGAAATGATAGCTAGGTGTCTGGTAAGCAGTTCTGTGAATCACAGTGAGCTTTTTTGTGAGAAACAGAAATTCTGACTGTCAAAGAGTAAGCTGAGATTTTGTTTATTTGTTAATTTATTTATTTTTATTGTATACTTAGTAGAAGCAGCTATTGTTAAAAACCATATTACCAATGATAAGATCTTTCTTTCAAAGTTTTAACAGTTCTGTGTTCTGTGAAGAAGCCATCTACTTTTTCAAGCCAGCCTCACAAAACTCTACACTTTTTATTAAAAGACTAAACCTCCAAAACATAAAGACTAATGTAGAAGTACACTTCTTTCCATCTTGTTTTGTTTCATGGACCTATGTTTGCTACTCTTCTTAAATAGAGAATATCCGTTGCTGTCTTGTACTACTGTGTTGCAAACAGGCGTCCTTAGGGGGGTTTGGGACTTCATGTACTCTCAGCTTTCTTCTCTGTTCTTCCTCAGTCTCTGGTGTTAGGAATAATTCCACTGAAAAAATTTTTCTACTTTCCTCACGGTGTTTTTCAATGGTTGGGCTTAAAATGTAAAAATTATAATGATTATTTAAAATAATATCAATTATGTTGTCACTGTAATGTGAATATCTTAAAATTGCAAAAAGCACAGTGCTTCCTGAAACATGTAGCTCTCTTTTTGCATTTGGTTTTTTTTTCTGGTTTTGTTCATGTTCCCTGATTATTTGGGGAACTGAGCATGAACTGTTCCTCCAACTATACATTAGTTTTCTGTGCATGAGTGTCCCAAATTTTCCTTTCTAAGTAATGTAGTATACAGAGCAATCATCCGACTGGGTCACATAGTTACCATTCTAGGAGACTTCACTTGCAGGGTGAACCACCCACGGTTTCACTGTTGCATGCCAACGTCATTACCTGTTGTTGTCATTTCATCTGATCCTGCCACTGCCATCTGTTGCCCTATGCTCTTATCTCAGCTGTTTATCCACCTCTCAAATCTTAGCCTGTCTCACATGTAAAATCAGTTCCTTGGTGGTAGTGGAGTGAGCTGATGGTTCATTTCTCCCTGTCAGTGGTTTGCTAATGAGGCTTTTGGGCTAGTCTCTTGTTTGCACAATCCTTGCCTTAATCTTGGTTTTGCTTGTGAAATATCTCTGAAAACTCACAGCAAGACTTGCCTACATAGGATATTTTCCACACTACTTGGGTGGTCTGAACCATCTTGCTTTGCATCTGTTTCTTTCCTGCATTTAAAACCAGTGTCTGGAACCATCGTGGCCTTGACCTGCTCACTTGCTTTAAGAGGATTTCCCTAAAAGAAACTTGTGTTACATAGGCCTCATCATTCTAGCTCATCTTTGAAAGTACTTAATTTAAAGGAAAGAAAAAAAATCTGAAAGCAAGAAAATCTGGATTGTATGGAATTGTCCAAGATGCTTAGCAATCTGTCACAACTCCATCTCTGCTTGTAGCTCTCCTTCACTGCCGGCCCTTGTGCACTTGCTGACTTCTCCCTTCTGCTTCATGCCCCTTGCTGACAGTATGGCTTTCAAATAAACAACATACAGGAGTCTTAACTCTGCTTGTATAATATCCTGTATTAGATGTCTGAATCCCGTTTTAACTTGCATTCAGTTTTATTATTGCACAAAAGTTCTCTCTGATAGTTGTTGTCTTTCCCTTTCCAGTCTGAAAGAATTTTTAGACAACCTCTGCTTAGAAATAAATGAATAAAACTGACTTTTCCCATCTTTTTGTATTCTTCCAGGGTTTTATCTGTGGCTTTTCAATAGCTACAGGAGCAGCTGCAAGACTGCTTTCAGGATATGACAGTTATGGAAATATTTGTGGACAGAAAAATGTCAAGGTAGAGGGAATAGTCAACAGTGGTCTGGACCTCACACACAAGAAGTAAGTATGTGATAGGTTTTGCCTTGCCTGGTTTAGAGAATGAAAATTTTTTCTTTCTTTGAAAGTGATTTTAAATAAGGTGGGAACAGGGATATGTTAACTCATTTCTACTTGTCCTTTGACACTTTTCTCACTTAGAGGACAGCAATCTTTTTTAACAACTAGCAACATTAGACTGTATGTTGGCAGATATGCAATATGAATACAGCTAAGACATTGAGAAATTACTTTTTCTCAGTATCCATTTCATGTAGGATATTGTACTAGGCTGATGAAAAGTCTTGTTTGTTAGGGTTTTAAGTATGACAAGTAGTCTCAGATTTGGGAGCAGGCTTTGATATCAATGTTTACTTTTGATGTTGTATGCTTGATTTCTGCCATGACATGTAAGGGGAGATGAGATAATCTGGCACATTAGAATAAGACTTTAAAATTTGACCTGTAGGCAGAATGTATATATGTGACTTGTGGAGAAAATGCACAAAACTTGAGAGGTGTGCACAGCTTTGATTAAGCACTGTCCTGATAAAACTCATACTCAAAGTTCAGGTACTTCCTATCTGTTGTCCAGGAAGACATCACACTGCAGTAGTAGTACTGGAGCAGTGGCAAGAATTCTTCACTGACAGGTTGAATACCTGTGAATGTCTGTTGAGGTCTGTGTTGTTAGATAAGCTCGGAGCCCTTCTGTACAACTTAGGAAACTTAAGGAAGCAAACTTTAGCTTAGTACAGTGATATTCACTTACAAAGAAAAAAGTGTTTTTTCCATCACCAGTTATCAAGGAGCTAAAAAGTTACTGATTTTTGAGTATGATAGCCTTTTACTACATACTTTCAGACTAACAGAATTTTGATAATTTTCCTAAGTTGTTTGGGAAGCATGCTTTCCTGAGATGATCTTATTTTGAATTACTATTCTAAAGATTTCTAAGTATCTCATTTAAGATTTAATGTAGATAGATAATAGGTGGTTATCAGAAAGATTTGAGATAAATAAAATGTCTGGAACTTTTTACTGATATCTTTTGTCAGAAAAATAATTTCTTACTCTAATCTGATCTTTCAAGAAGGTTGAAAGGCTCAAAGTTTATGCAGCGAAATTTTCCTGTTTTTACAGAAACATTTTAGCCTTTTCTAAACTCATGTCTATACAGTATAAAATTGTGATTCTAGTGTTCTGAGAAAAAATCCAAATTTAAAAAAATAATTTTAAGTTTACCCTTAGAAGGAAATGGTATCTGAGTTCATGTGAAGGTAGAGAATTTCAGACACCTTATTGAAATGTAATAATTAATATTGTGATGGTCTTCTACATGTGACATAGGTCAGACCATCATGTGGGGAAACATCTACCACTAAGTAAATTCCTCTTGTAAATGCAAGCTTAAAAGACAGTAGATAAAAAGAGAGACTGTTTTAAACACAGCTGATTGACAGAGCCTGTTGTTTGTCAAGACATCTTAATGAGGTTCAAAAGAATTATGCTTTTCTAACAAGGATGTTGTGGCTTGAGGCATGAACTAAACAAATTAATAGATACACACATATAAGTCATAGTCCTCTCTATCTGGTTAAGAGAAAACCCTCAAAGGCAGATTACTCTTTAACTGTTCACATGAAGTGCCTAGTATAGTCCAAGGCATCCAGTTTTGGAAGTGATTGGTTCTTATATAAGTGAGTGATCCTTCCTTCTCTCACACCTCATGGTTTATTCTGAAAAATTGCCAAGCAAATTAGAAAAGCTATCTGCTTTGCATCTGTCTCTAGCAGATGGAGTTCCTACAGTGTCTGAGGTGGAGTTCATGGGAGTATTTAATGTTATTTTTATAGGAGCACTTTGCAGACAGACGGTAAAAATAAACTCTTCTTCCTGCCTATACATTTCAGTTTGTGTAGAGAAAGAAAAGACTTTAAGCTCCACAAATGGGGCTCTGGAAACGTGAAGTTACTCTCATTTAATTTTGCTTGCAGGGTAATTCCATTTCCATTTCCTAGTCCAAGGGCTGAAAAGCTAAATCATCTGTAAAAGTAATATTTTCTTCCTTATGTATGACAGCAACCCATAGGCACTGTCATGGAAGTGAAATTGATGTGGTCTGTGTGGATATGGAAATCTGGGTGGTAAGGGTAAAGAGCACATTTCCCACAGGGATGTGATTTGGTCTGTGTACATCAGATATGCTGAAACCAGTGAGAGGAAGGAAGTATTGGGAAGGAGAATTTTATAGCCTGGTCTTGTGAACAAAGAGTGGATCAGGCATCCTTTTATTTTTATAAAGTAACCACAACACACTTTAGTAGTCTGTCTTCTACAGTCAGACATAAGACAATATTCCAGAACTGGCAGTGAATTCTAATTAAACCTATTTGCTTCAAGTAAGCTCCTTGTTTTACAAGTTCTGGTAGTTATAAAGGGTAAAAAAAATGACCTTTTATTTGCAAATAAATGATAATCACAGCAACCAAATGTAAGTCTCTGAAATGCTAGTTCAGTCTGGTTTTTGATCACCGGTGTGTTGTTATTTAGACAGAATTCAGTTTGTGCTGTCTACTCAAGTACTAGGAGATGTGCATATGATGCTATGAAGAATAGCTAGGGTGGCATTCTGCCTGAGCACATGCATTTGATCCCAGGAAATGCCTGAACTTTAGGTAATGGGAAAATGCAGGTTTTCAGGATGGTTTGCAGCATGTACACAGAAAATTTGATTGACTGAAACTGTGTATGCCCTACTGCTGAGAAATTTTTGACACTCGACTCTTATCTCCATTGGATGACACAGATCAATTATGATACCTGGTAGCTCAGTCTATGTGCTTTGAAAAAAGAGAGCCTGAACAAAGAGATACCTGGGGAATTATTAATATGAGCACTCTTAGGGCCTGGAGTGGTCTTGCTTTTCATTGGTTTGCTGTTGTGTTACTAAGTGGTTTCCATGTAGTCATCTTCATATCCTCTTACACTGTTTTTCTGGGGGATTTTCCTTGGTTCTGTGCTCCATGTTCATTACAGCTCCTATAACATGCTCCAGGCTGTACACTCTAGTTGTTAATTTTTAGGTAGTATTTAAGATGCTAGCTTTGTCTAAGTGTTACTAATGCTCAGATTACTAGCTCTCAGTTTCACCTTATTGCTCTACAGCTACCTGAAAGGATGGAGGAATCAATCTCCCTCTTAGGTAACAAGTGACAGGATGAGAGGAAATAGTCTCACACTGTGCAAGGGGAGGTTTAGATTAGACATTATGACAATTTTTTTTTTGCTAGAAAGGTTATCAAGCCTGAGTACATGGTTAAGTCACCATTCCTGAGGTATTTAGAAGATGTGTAGATTTAGCACTTAGGGGCGTCATTTAGTGGTGGACTTGGCAGTGCATTTACTGTTAGAGTAGAGGATGTGAAGGGTCTTCTTCAATAAAAATTATTCTGTCATTCTAATTCTACCTTGTTTTACTTTAAAGCCACTCCCCCTTGTCCTTTCACTATTTGCTTGTGTGAAAAGTCAATTTGTCTTTTACAGAAGCCCCCTATAAGTACTGGAAAGCTGCCAAAAGTTGTCTCCACAGTCATCTCTTTTCCCAGATGAACAGCCTCAACTCTCTTAGCACACCTTTGTATGCTCCAGCCCTCTCATCATTTTCATGGGTCTCCTCTGCACTGTTCATGTCTTTCCTGTACTTTCTTCTGGGCAACCCAGAGCTGGGTGCAGCTGGGGGCCCCCCTGAGGGCAGAGTAAAACTTGCCTTGCCAGTCATGCTTCTTTTTATGAAGCCCTGGATACAGCTGGCTTTCTGGGTTGCAGGTGTACATTGCCAGGTCATGTCCAATTTTTCATGCACTGCTACTTCCAAGTCCTTCTCTACAGGGCTGGTACTTCATAAAGATGCATAAGTGTACCTTTGTTGTAAGTCTACTATATTGATTTTCAAATAGCAAGCATATTTTCATTTACACTATTGAAGCATCTCTAACAATATGATTACTTTGTTTACGTCTGCCTTTCTATTGCTGATGTGCTATTTCCTTATTAGAAAACTAGTCTATTGCTGATTGTAAATAACTGAAATTGCAGCACAACGCATGTAATGACATTCTTCTAGAGGGAAACAAAATCTGTCCTGTGGTTTCACGGTATGAAATTTTCTGCAGTAAAATCACTTATCTTCCACATATAAGCTTTATAAACAAAAAAAATTAACTTTTCTTCTGTAGTGCTGGTTCTTCAAATTTTGGTTCTTGTTTTAGCTGTGCTGAAGTAAAACTAATCTTACTTATCTTACTTGTGTTTTCCGAGACCACAGATTTGATAGCCTGGAGTTTTCTGTGAGGCTCTTTTCTGTGCACCATACAATGTAGTGTTTGAATTTCATGTGCTGTTTAAGGCTGTGCCCACATTTCTGTCAAAACTGCATAGGATGCTGTAATTGCATTGTATTTCTAAACTTCCAAGTTTGAGTTAGAATTGTAGCATTTATTTTACAAATTATTCTGGCGATTAAAATGATAGCTTGACCCTTGAATTGAAATGATGGTAGAAGTGGGATGAGTTCTATCTTGCTAATAGTGACATTCCTGATTTGGTTTCCATGGGGAAATTCAGAGGATCCTCTTGTCTGGGAATTGGAGTCCAGTTCTACAGCTCCCAGAGCCCAGGGTCTCTGCTGAGATCGGAGGCTGAGGGATGTGGATGGAAAGTAACATGGGACATTGACATAGCTGGTTACACAAACTGGCGGTGACAAGGTGCTGCCTTCAACAGTGGTGCTCATAAGCAGAGCCAGTCATGTCCCCTCCTCCTCCTAGTGATGAAAGAAGGAAGGCTGACAGTGGCAGAATGTCACTAGTGCAGAAGGTCACTAGGCACCCGCATGGCACTTCCCAGGTTCACAAGCTCAGATATGTTGCAGATTCTCCAAGTACTAGCAGAGCGCCTTATCCATGTTATGGGTTCCCCCTTCTCAGCAGCTGATCCAGTTTGGTGCTAAGTACCTAACATTCGTGCACTCATTCCACAAGCACCCCAGACCCACAGTTTCCCCCAAATAACACCACAGACCCTCTGCCCACCCAACACTTCTCACCTAGAGCTCCCTACTCGGAGCTAGACTCAGTGATCCTTCAGGGTCCCTTCCAACTCAGGATTTTCTATGCTTCTATAATTTGAATAAATCGTTCTGGAGAAGGTACAGATGCTCAGCCCCATCAATAGCCAGCACCACAAGGGCAGTGACCACCTATGCTGAGTCTGTGACCTCTGTAGCTGCTTTTTTTGTAGGCACACATTGTTCTCACCCCAGCAGCTCATTGCCAAGACCCCTCCCTGAGACTGGCACCGAGACCCCACTCACTTTGGTCGCTAAAACCACATTGCTGTGGCACCCAAGCACCTGGTTTGATTCCTGCTGCTGGCACCAAATCCCTCACACTCATGTCAGTCCCCCCAGTAGCTGTCGCTTAATCTCTGCAGCACTTGCAGCATCCATGCACATTGTATAGGGACTGGAATTATGCAGAGAGGGAGTTAAAAGCTTTAGTAATAGGGCAAGATAGACTGCAGTGATCAGGTGCTGAGGTTAGATAACATACTGACAACATCAACTTGCATGTAACTGTTCCCTTTTACACCCCTGTGTCTGCTGGCCTGTGCTGTGCATGTTCCCTTTGCTGCTAGCAGGGTCCCACTGACCCTTCCTACATTTTGTACTTATGAGTTTGCATCCCTATCGATCGCAAAGTCGCTGTCTGCAGTTTCTTGATAGCCCATCAATTGCTGTCATTGTCAGGGTTTCTTTCTGATTATTGTTATTACTAACATTAAGTGGATAAGTTTTCTGTCTGATTGTCTCCCTCCTTTTCCTTTTCTCAATTTGGCAAAGTCCTTAGCCAGATAAGACTATCTGAAAAATCACCAAATCATCATCAAATTTTCATAATCCACATGTCTTTACCACTTAGTGAGACTGACCAGATTTGTTGCCATCCTAGCCTCCCTTGCCATATCAGTCAAGTTTAACTCTGTGGGTTCTGCTTTGTAGCTCCTTTGACCAGATACCCTTAAAGAAGTAGACACTCTCCTGCCGCGTACCCTTATTGTATGGGATAACAACTGGAGGAACTTCAATTAAAACAGCTATTTCGTGTCCTGGTATCAACTCAAGAGTATTTTCCTTGAAGTTAAGGGAAAACTGTGGCTTATTGCTTGCATGCAGTTACTTTTACTGTTTTTGCATGATAGAATTTTCATTTTTACACTTGTTTCTCAGACTTCTTGACTTATGTCAAGATATTGACAAAAAATTACTTTCATGTTTTAAGAATGCAAGTAATCTATTACTATGTTACAGATGATTTAGACGACATGAGTTTTGATGGACTTCTAAGGAAGATTGTACTACGTCGTAATCATTCTTGTACACTGACACTGGGTAATAGAACAGTAGACAGCAATTAGCATATAGACTGAAGGTGTTCAGGGAGGACCTAAATGCTTTCTAGGAGCAAAAGGGATTTTTACTGGCTGCAGAATGAATTCCCATCATGAGTACTACAAAAATAGAAATGGCATTTTATGTGGCAGATTTCAGGTGTTTTCATATGATATTAGGTAATATGAAGAAAATATTTCAATGCATAGTCCATCACCAGAATTGTAGGGATTTAAGAACTGTTCAACTTTCAAAGAGAAATGCATCTCTACTGTATCATCACTGGAAATTCTGTAGGGTTAATGTTTGTCATAAAACATATACATAGCCAGGAGATGTTAGTTAAGCATCTATAATTTGTACTTCATGCATTGGATTTTTAAATTACATTCATTGTGAAAAGTTAGCAAGTAAAATATCTTTAAAATACTGCACGTAAGCATTAGATAATTCTACTTAAAATATCTGAAGACAGTTTATTTCTAAGTAAATACCAAAGTAATTAATTCAGTCATGACATGGAAAAATCAATCTATACTAAAAAGCTGTTCTTAATTACTGGTATTATGTATATTCATTAATATAGCCATGGACCTTTTCTTTTTGCAGAATAAGAGTGACTTTATTTGGTTTGTTGGGTCTTTTTGGAAAAAATTTTGAATTCTCTAAGTCAAGTTTAAGGTTTGAGTAAAGGGTTATGAATGTTTGGACTCATATGTGTGAAGAGGCATGGTAGGACTACTACTGTTTTTGTGAGTAGCACCATTTGAATGGACTTGAATCAGGTAGAGCTAAACATCCTTTTTGTGTGATTCAGAGGTACATAAATACCAATACATTTGTTATGCATATGTTGAGTACATAAATTCTTTTGATCCACACAGTTACAATAATATCAAATTTCCTATATTTCTGGGTGGACTGAATCACTCAGTCTTGACTGAATCCCATAGTTTGAAATTTTGTTCAGTGTAATTGTTAATTGAAGTAGAAGTAATTTATCTTTTTTCCTTCCATAGGTATGTATTCTTCTTGGATCCATGCAACATTGATCTAGTACATCAGAAGATTAAGTCTATTGCCTTGTGTGTATCAGCTTGCCCAAGGAAAGAATTGAAAACTCTGGCTGATATACAGAAGTTTGCAGAAACTAATGGTATGAAAAAAATAGGTTTGTCTTTGTTCACGTTTTGCAGGATCTGAAAAAAGACTCATGCGTTAGCTGAGCTAAAAATGAAATATGTACTAAGAAATATGAATGGAAATAATGTGCTCTTTTCATTAAGCTAAAACATTACTGTATCTTTTAGTATGATAGTGTCTTGGGCAGTTTGGAAAGCTTGTTTTTAAAATAGGAGTGCAAAATGTAACAAACATTTGAGGCGATGTCTGACTATATATATGTTTTCAGCTTCTAAGGAAATATTCTGACATTGCTGCTTAACAGTAGTGCTGTTTAAGTGTTCTCATGTACAGGGGGTTAGTGAGACCTGTGCTGCTGTTTAATGGCACTTGTGGCACAGAGTATGGCAGTATGTGTGAAAATATTCTTGCCTTTATTCAATGCTACTGTGCTGTTCTTTTTTGGGTTTTTTTTTGTTTCATTTTCTTATGCTTTTCTTTAAAAAGGAAGTATAAAGGAAGCAAATTGCATTTACAAAGGAAATATTATACCTTGTCTTCCTTAAGAGCTGTACTTTTTTCCATGGTAGTAATACTGACATTACCAGCTCAGTTCCCATTTAGCAGTCAGTGGGATAAAATGCGTGAGAAATAATCAACCTTTGGACATACAAAATAAAGATATAAAATTAATTTGAGGAAATTTTAGCAGTTTTTAGCTACTCAAGTGGGAACATTTTCCTAGTGTGTGGGATGAGTCCTAAAGTTATCTTTTAAAATAATGCAGTAATAGTTCTGTGCAAGGTACTTGACTAAAAATGAGACAGTCTGGATGACCTAGTTCAAAGCAGTGGAACTGATTATTTTTCATAAAAGAAATGGAAATGTTTATTTCTGTAATAGCACAGGTTATGTGTGTTGTCTTTATATTGCAAGAGCTCTATTATCAGTACATTGCAAAGGTTCCATATTGCTGGAGTTTCATACCTCCTTGGTGTTTCTTGTAGGCATCTCCTCTAGGCACTGACTCTTCCTTATTCTCACAGCAGCCACCTGACTCCAGCTGCCCTCAACCAACCAATCCACTCTTTTATAACACTGTTCTGATTGGCTACAGGTGTGGCCTGTTAAAATCAGGCCGGCTCCTATTCCTTAATTACTGGCACAGCTTCAGCTCTTTAGGAGATATGATTACATTCTATACCATCTTCATTTACCCATACTGCATCCCCCTACATACGTGAGTACTCTTGTTTGAAAGCAGACTGAGTTGGAATGGCCCTGGGGCCACTGTTAGTGCCCTTGGTCTCCCACTGCACTGTACCTGCATGCCTGGGTTCTGACAGCTGAATCAGGAACCTGAACTACTGTAAGGCATCACAGCTTTTGCAGAGCTGCACAAACAGCTTCCTCCTGTGATTGGTGCACCGTTGTCAATTACAAGTGAAAATAGTAATATATCTACACTTTCATTCTTTACTCCTTCTCTGAGCATGCTGTGGTTTTTTTTACTAATACAGGCCAGTTCTTTGTTAGTATGTAGTGAAGGTCATTTGTGGTGGAGTTTAAGTATCTCTTGAAGGAATGGAATTCAGACATGTCTTTCTTTATGACCAACATGGTTTCTATAAGTTAAATCTCTTATTAATTGTGCCTGACATATGTTCAGTATAACTATCTTTTAAAGTACAACAAAGACCGCTCCTCGCAAATCATGATATGCTGCGTCTTGTCCTCATGAGTCTTTGTTCTAATTCTATTTTTCTTAGGGCTTTAGATTTTAAAACCTAAAGATAATTTAAAAAAAATTAACATGACAGGCAATTTTTTCAGTTTCCAGGAGCTTGGTCAAAAGTATGAAAACTGGTGCTGGAGCAGAACATAATCACTAATGAGTTCAATTCCCAATTTTCATTATATATATGACTTGTCAAAGACAGGTATTTTACCAAAATGAGCTTTCCTTTTATAGAGGAAGTCTGTGCATGACTGAAATTGCACCATTCAGAGAAATATTGTTATCCTCATGTTATATTTCTGCTTAAATTTTCACCAATCTATGGAAATTACAAAAAATGATGTTTTGCAGCAAATGAACAGCTTAATTGTTGATTATTGTAACAGTTTCATTTATATAGTAATAAAGTTCAAGTGTGATTCAGCCTTTTAGCAGAGCAAGAACAGTGAATTAATACCAAAACTGTAATGTTCAGTAAGCAGAATAATTTTTCTGAGATCTATTTTGTAGCTATGATAGTGGATTTCAATTAATTAATGCTAGGATTAGGTTTGGCAGTCCATTTTAAGTGACCATTAACTCCACTGTAAAAATAGTAATAATGAAATCTGAGGACCTTGAACATGACTGCAAAGAGCTTAATTTCAATTTCTGTGTTTGTGATGATGTATAGTTAGAAAATAGAGTTCCGCCGTCAAGTTCTGAAGAAGGAGGACAAATCTGTTTGGTTTTGTGATAATTGGTACTGAATTTTCTCATGCTCATAACTTCTAACATTCCAAAAAAAAACCAAACCGCCTTGTAATGTTTTAAATGTATAGGTAAAGAATGCAGTCAGCTCTTAATTTTGCTCTGTTGAGCCTTTCTGAAAGCTTTAACCCTTTCTCCATCCTGAAAATAGCAATTATCTGGTGACAGAGTGTGTAGGATTGTGGCATGTGCTTTTGTAGAGTTGGCCGTTTTCACCTGGCTCGAATGCCATCCCTGAAATCACCTTACTTGTCTGTGCATCTTGAAATTCATAAAGGAATTATGGCTTAAGAACCCTTCCTCAGCCCAAAGAAATCACCTATTGTGCCTCAGTTGCCCACCAAGCAGTGGTGTGGTAAGTTCAAATAAATGTGTTTTTTAATCTAAACATCTTTATGAAGAGCTGTAACATGTGAAGTGTCACAGACATCTTTTCATAAAAATCTCTTCTTCAGGATTTTTCCCCTTTCTGAGAAGCTGTGGCCTCAGCAACAAATGTAAACAATGGTTACCTGCTGCTGTGGAATGCAACAGTTGCGTCCGTGATTGGTCTTCTGTGGATGTTTGGATTTACTGACCACTCACGGCGGTGCTGTTCTCGCTTTCTGCTGAGACACAGACCTTTGTTATTCATTCCTTTTCTATTCTTAGCTTAGCCAGTTGCTGAGAACTTTTCTCTCTATTCCTATTAGCATAGTAATAATGTAGTATGTAGCATAAAATAATAAATCAAGCCTTCTGAACATGAAGTCAACATTCTCACCTCTCTCTTCACCCTGAAAAACACTTGCAAGCCCTGTAACAGTAAAGCATATTAAAACATCATTGTGTTGACTAGTGATTTTATCAATACCACATATGAATTTGCAGCTAGCTTAGCATTTATAGTATTTTTACTAAAGTGAGGCATGCACTTGATTGCCTCAACACAAAAGGACAGAACTACCAATCCCAAAGATTCAGAACACGTGTGGCAGAGCTCATACGTTTGGTGTGCGGTTCTGCAAGTGAGATTATAAATAAACATTTAGGGCAGGGAAAATGCTTGCTTGAGGCAAGAAGACCATTTCATGATAAAGCAGCCTTTTAGCTTTCTGAATCAGTAATGATGCCCTTGTTCTTCTGCTGTAATTTGGGAAAAGGAGCTGATTTTTGTGAATAACCCAGCACCATTTCAGGGCAATAACTTCACTCCCACCACTACCTCACTTGGCCTCTCACAGTCAGGTCCTCCATTTGCAGTACCTTCCCATCAAGAAAGAGAAGAAGCCCATCCCTTGCAAAACCAAGCTGATTTTGAGAACACAAGAAAGCACATACCTTTAATGTCTTCACAATAATTCACACCCAGAAAACTGGAACCAGCTGGGACCTTTTACAAGAGGAGGAAAAAGCAAAAAAGAAAGCTGGGCACTTGTCCACTCAGATCTTGACTTGTACAGAGATACAAGCTGTAAAATACAGAAGTATTCTGGAGCAACTCCTGAAAGTGGCACAGGAAGATGCAGTGTTACCTGAGAAATGTTGCAATGCTGTTCTCAAACAGCCATGCTAGTACTTGATTTTGTAGAGCTAACGGTTGGACACAACTGAGAATGTTATATGTTGTGAACTGACTGCTGTTGCTCTCCCCAGGATTTTCTCACCCAATAGAACAGCTCAGGCACAGAGTATTTGTGGTTCAATGTTCTTGTTGGTTTTTGCCCTTAAAAAATTATGTATTTTGAGAAGTGTGACTGAAAGCTGTCTTTCCCAGAAACCAAATTGATGCTTCAAAACTTGATGTCCATGAAATACTGCATTGATGTTTTCAAGGACTTGCTAAAGCATTTTGAAATATCCTTGAAGATATAATTAATTTATGCCTGTGCCAAATGAATAATGAAGTGTCATTATTAAAGAGAAACACTAGACAAGTGGCTATAATTTCCATTGTGTTTAATTCAGTGATAACTATAGTGCCTACTCAGTGTGGGAACTACTATTCCTATTTGTTGTTTAAATAACAAATGCATATTTAAGAACCTAAAATAAAATTTTTATTCTGCAGCATTGTGGCAGGCATTTCATTCAGTCAGAATTCTGTAGCTAGACCAGGCTAGTGGCCTGTGTCCGCACAGAGCCAGAGGAATGCTTCATTAAATTTGCTATAGAGACTGACCTGAAATAGATCAATAAAGGAAATCAGCCTGCTAAATCTGAGCAGATGATATCTCTGAGCTATTAGAAGGAACCACAGGCGAAACAGAAAGGATTTTTCTTTTGTTTGAAGATAATGACATATTCATGTGTTCCTGTTGGCACTTGGTTTGAAATAGCTGTTACGTGGGTCACTGTGAGCCTCTAACATTTTTCGTCTGCTCTTTTTCTCCTTGCCTTTGTTTTCAGTGAGAGTATGCTGCTTAAAACTTAATCCTTTTCTTGTGATTTTCCTGAAGTACAATGTACTGTGTTAGTTACAGATACCTTATGCTTAAAGCAATTCTGCACCCACAGGTCTTTGGAAACCTGGGTATGTTAATTTAGAGTGTCATTTTTTTATTGAC